TATACCAGAAAAGCTTATTTTGTTTCTATTCTCATGTATGCATACTGAAGCATTAAAAGCATTGTCTTCCAATATCAGATAAGATAATATTTTTGAAAGCAATGATATTTCATTTTCTTATCATTTCACTGGACTTTATTCTCGATTTTTATATAAGAAAAACAAAAATTTGTGTTGTGTCATCAACGAATATTGATGGAATGTATTTTTTGGAAGTTTATCAAAGGAATATTATTCAATGAGTACAATATATAATTGCATGTCATGTATAATAATATATTGAGTGAATTATTGCTAATCATAACATAGCAGACTTTGAAATAGGCGCGTCAATATAATTGAATTTTATACAACCCCAAATATGTCAGAGCTGCCGACAGACTAAGTAAACTATACTGATTAGTGCTTCTAATTAAAGATAGAATAATAACAAGTTCTTGAACGAAATATCAAATTAAAAGAAAGATAGTAATCATAAAATTTTTCGTATGAGAACGGCTTCAATAAGAGCAATGTCTTTGATCATATCAGTTGTGTTTCGTATTGTCGAAAAAGTGTAATCATGATAACTAAAACAACTTAAGACAAGACATGCAACAAAGAGATAAAAGAAAATATGCAACGAAAATGTAAGAAATAAGTGATACTGCTAAAAACAGGCAAGGACATCTACATTTGATAATCAATTTTTGTAACAGCACGACGCAAAATTTATTAGCAGCATTTGTTGCTAGAATTGAATGAATTTGTTAACGTACTTGCAAATTTAAGGCGGTGCATCAGCATTTGCTTTTCAAAACTTAAGGGCCAGAATAAAATTTCAAAATTTGGTCTGATCTGGTAGTGTTTGTCAATCAGTAGGCCAAGTCGGCAGCTCTAAAACACATGTTCATAATTAAAAGCAATCGAACTTGACAGAATGAGTATCCATGGAATATAAAAAAAAAAGGAAATGCATTTCATTGCATTCTTCTTCGTCTCTTTTATTTTAATTTTGATCATGATACTTTGATAACACAGTTGTTTTCCTCAGGCAATAAAATTATATACGAATTATCTAGAATATTTTATGCTCAATATTTTTCTTCTTCTCTTCTTTTACTACTGAAAATTTTTTTATGAACGGCGGTCAGTAGACGGCAATGAAGATGGATTTGACTAATCGTTCGTTCTCGAATAGAGTGATTAGTGAAGCTGATCTAAATTTCATCTTTCTTTATTTCTCATTTTCAATATTTCACGATCATCGGTAGCTATAAACACCAACGAAAATGAATAGTAAATCGAATATGATGACAAATAGATAACTCATTGTCTTTATGCAATACTATGTAATAATTGTGTGTTACAAGCCTTTGGAATAATCTCAGAAGTCATTTCTCAGTAGTGAAATTTCTAGTAGACCCCAACCTTTGTTCTGTTTGAAAAAGAAAAGTTTAAAGAAAGAAACACCAACATAGACAAATTTTACTTTTGGTGTAATACAATAAAAGTCAAATGCGATGCAAGGCGAAGCGTGTCTGCAGCTGGATTTATCGGAATTTTTGATTTATCGGTTAATGGTGTTGTCTGTTTTATAGTTAGAATTAAATATGGCTACAAATCGAACTTAAGAAGCCTCATTGAATCATCTGTATGAAGTTTTGTCCTCGCTACACTATCAATTTAGTAAAAACTTTTGAATTTTAAAAAATTAGCCAGTTGACAAAAAGTCATCAAAAGAAGAATGAAAAATAATATAAAAAGGTATGTTTTTGATGCAGCTTTTACGAAACATTCAATGGTTTGTTCCATTAATAGCTATTTGCTTTGGGAGGTGTGGATGTGGGTTTGAGTTAGAGGAGTGAAAATGAGGGCTTGGGTGCCGGACAGGATGTGGTTTGTAGGTGTTTGTGTGAGTACGGATGTGGGTGCGTGTATGGATTAAAATTAGAAGTGTTAGTGTTCCCATTCTTGAACGTTCTGTTTCTAGGAACGGGAACATATCTCATATTGTGTTGTCTAGTATTGTTGCAGTATACCAACATTTGTAAACTTCTTTGCTTATTTCGGATGTAGATGTGGAGTTTTTGGGCCTGGGAGTGTCAGAATAAGACGTACCCCCCACCCCTTTATCATGATAACCTGAACTTTGGAGAGATATGTCTTCGAAGTTGGGTATCCATCTCGTTACAGCATATTCACTCAAAATCGTTAATTTAACGACATTTGGAGTACTGCAAATACATCGAGTGAATATTTTAATAGATAGGTTGTGAATCTCGATACCCGAGGTGTGGATATTATGATATTCCTCAATTTATTCTCACAAGGTCAAAGACTTTGAATTGACTACATCAACGAAGATATAGTTACAGTAAACGACTATTGTTGTCAGTGTTAGTAAACCTCTTCCTACGTAGTGATTGTAGAATATTCTTTTTGCGACGTTTCGATAGTCGATGCTACCTTCTATAGACTTTATTGGTAATAAATAAAATGTACTACAACAAACACACACTTTATTTTTTTTTTCTTGTTTCTTCTCTTTTTCGTTTCTGTTGTTATTTTGATTTTGATAGTGGATCGGCAATATGGTGATAACTAGCAGAAGCGACTTACTATTGTCATTTTCTTTCGACCCACTATCAAAATCAAAATAACAACAGAAACGAAAAAGGGAAGAAGCAAGAAAAAAATAATAATAAAATGTATGGGTTGTAGTACATTTTATTTATCATCAATAAAGTCTAAAGAAGGTAGGATCGACTATCAAAATGTCGCAAAAAGAATATTCTACAATAACTAGGAAGAGATTTACCGAGACTAACAATTAATTATGACCTTCCTTAACAACAATTAAGTAAACGACTATAACAACTAGAAATCTCAACAGTCAATATAGGATTTTCCTTTAAAATTATAATCTTGAATAATAAGAAAAGTATGGAAATGTCTGAAAATGAAAGCTTTACCGTAATAGCATAAATACAGAAACTAATTAAATAAAAGAAATTATTTTTCATTCAATGAAATTTCTATGGAGTTTTTATTAATTTACAAAGCATTATGACTCGATGAGATATATCTAGAAGATTGATGCATTTTATTTTATTTTTCATTTTACTGATAACACCATGTTTTCATATGCATATATACACTACTGGCCATAAGTCCCTGGATGTGCGATACTCTCTCATAACTTCAATAATTTTCCACGAAATTTTTACGAGAGATAGAGCTTAAAAAACTGTGATCGTAAGCGCCAACCCGAGCTCTATCGACTGATATAGTATGGAGTTATGATTCAAACATTAGTTTCACCTCTGTTTAATTATTGATCAATATTCACAGTTTCTATGAAAAACATTCGAGATACTAGAGATCTTGTTTAATCTTTAGGTTGTTTCGTAAGTTGTTACAGGAATACGCAGTGGGCATTTATTGCTCAATAGAGGCATCTCTGGAGAATAGTAGACTAATATTAACGAGCTAAGAAACAACTTAGAGATTAAACAAGTCTTCTAGCATCGCGATTGTTTTTCCATAAAAACTGCGAATATTGATTTACAAGTAAACAGACGTGAAACTAATGTTTGAATCATAACTCCATACTATATCAGTCAATAGAGCTCGAGTTGGTGCTTGCGATCACAGTTTTTTAAGCTCTATCTCTGGTAAAAATTTCGTGGAAAATTATTGAAGTTATGAGGAAGTATCACACATCCAGGGACTTATGGCCAGTAGTGTATATGCACAATTTGATTTTCTAAGCCAAATTGTTTCGTATTGTGGTTGTTGTTGCTCAATGATAATAATTTATCAAAATTGACGAGCGATTAATTAGCTAATGTTTCGAAATTCACATTGTTTATTTTCGAATAAAATCAAAAGTTCTAATAAAATTAATTGATTAATAATAATTAAAATAAATTTCATATCATTGTTAGAAAACAAAAATAATTTTTTTTAACGAATTTTAATTTCTAGAAAAATTAGTTGTTGCTTCGGAAAAAATAAATCTCGAATTTATTTCGAACGACAAACAAAAAATGAGTCAGAAACATTTATGATCATTAATTGAATATTTAGCCGAGGTTTTCTTTGAGAAATCTACGAATAGTGGCACAGATCGAACTTCCACATGATGACGTTTCGTTTTTCTGTTAAATGATTTGTCATTATATGTCACAAGAATATCTTAATGCAACACCAATATTGACGACGTTCCTTTTTATGATAGAACATAAGATAAGAATAGCCTTTCTGTCGTGGGTATGTATCAATGTTAACTTATAGATTTCGTTGTCTTCTAATAGATTAACTAGATGTTTCAAAGAACATCTTAAATTAGACACCACGAATTTAATATGAATAACATACTTTTCATCAATAGTTGTACAATTCTAATTGATTAGTCAACAACAACAAAATTTTCTTTATTATTTCTAAGACAATGAAACTTATTGATCGATAATAATACTTTCGAATTAATTGAAACAAAAGAAACAAAGTTAACAGAATAATTTATTTAATTAATAGAAATTTGAAAGTAACAAAAAATTTTTGATTCTATACTTTAAAAAAATATGTCGTTTATCTATATATAACCTTTCTATTTTTATACTTAAAATTATTCAATATTGAATTTTTTAGCTAAAATTTTCGAAAATATTTCATAATGATTTGGGCAATAAAACGAAGAAATTACTTCGGAATTTTGAAACAATATCAAATATTTGAATTCATGCCGAATGTGAATATCGACGAAGAAAAGACACACAGGTATAGTAATATCTTTATCAATAAAATTTAATTGACATTGATTTTTTTCTTCATTTATCACGAGATGATTATGTAACAAAGATTTCGATTGAAGTCCCCCCCCCCCTAAAAAAAAATCACTTTTCGTCAGAATGATCGAAATTAAAATAAATGCAGGGAAAGATAGCCCGTGATCTAATCTCTCATAAATAACAAAAAATTTTACTCGGTATCTCGTTTTTTCCTCAGTTCATGATATGTCAAACGCGCAATCCAGATTTCTCAGTCCAGGTCAATGTGGTGTATTTAAAATTTTTTGTTTGTTTGAAGGAGCATGTCAAGATGCAGTGCATGATGGAGTTCGTTTTTTAAATTAAGCTTTGTTTTTATTATAGATATAGACACTTACACAATTAGAGCGCCATTTTTAAAGTGCTTTTTGAGTCATGGAACTTGTGATCCCTTTTCTGCATTTAAAAAGGAAGACTTTAAAAAAATGACTCTATCATGCACTGCATCTTGACATGCTCTTTCCAAGAAAAGGAAAATTAAACATATAGAATGAGACTGGACAGAGAAATTTGGGATGCCAAATCAGATATTTTTGACCCTTGTTTGATCAATACCTCCCTCGAACGTCATGATACAGGACTGAAAATTTTACCATAGCTTCTTCACTCCAGGCCTAACATATCCTGAAAATTTCATGCGATTTGAACGTACCTGGGCTGAGATCGGTTTTTGAGGGGGAGAGGCCTGAATATAGGTGACACATTAGAAAAGCGAATCATTTGTTTTATTTCGAATACTTATAGAAAATTACAAAAATTTTTAAAAACTTTCTTTCCATTATATTTTTGATAAAAATTCAGATTTCAATTAAGAATTATTTTCTGTAATGAAATCGAAACTGAAATCTAGAAATTCATTCTCCTCCAATGATATGATAACAAATTAACAAAATTCTTCATGTCATTGTGACAAAAGGTATTTGTTATCTGTCTCTATTATTGTCATAGTCATCATTGGACAAACAGATTTTTGTGAGTCGCTATTCTTTTTCTTTCTTTCATTATATATATAAATGATATCACACAAAATATACATTCTTACAAAGCATTTTTTATTCTAGACCTATGAAATTGAAAATAAAATTATTGTCGATATAAAAAGAATTATTTATAAACATATGTGTCTTTATCAAGTATTTGTTAAATTAAAAAATGAATTTATTGAAATTGTTTTAACAACAAAACGAATGATATGTAATCCAATCATGATGATTTTAAATTGTCTTTGGATTGTAATTACATTTCAAGAAAATAATTGGATTCAACAGCAAAAAAAATTAGCTGAACAAGATCTGAATAATAGAAATGATGAAATGCCAAATGAATTTATTCAAGGAACAGCTTTAACTGTACGTTTTCTTTTCTCTTTTTTTTTTCTTTTATTTAATCGTTTAACAATATCTAATTAACAGATAGTTCATATATTTCGAGAGTTTAAACATAGATTTTCTGATAAGTCTTGACAAACGAATATTTTTCATTAGATATCATATCGTCTAAGAGATCTTTGATTTCATTTGTTTATGTCGGATTGATGAAAATGATTAATTAGATTTTTGAGAAGATTCTCTGTTCGAAAACCATTCAGTCCATTGTCATCAATATGAAATTTATGTTCTATTGAGATTTCGATAAATCAAACGTATCTTAATCAATATGTTTTGATTAAAAGGATTAGTTATTTTTTTCAATATATTTATCGAATTATTGAATAAAATCTTGAATGTACAAGAAATGAACTCATTTATCTAAAAGCAAAATCTCTTTAAAAATCTAAGATTTTATAAAAGACGAATCATTTGCAATCAACTGAGAAGAATAAATTGAATCGTTAATCTTTTGTTAATTGTGTTTTGTGTGAAAATCATTTTTGAACTGAACTAAAGTAATAAATTTTTATCTTTCGAGAGATTTATGTAAACGGAAAATACTTTCGGATAATACATATAACTATCAGCAAAAAAAAAATCTTTTTCATCGAAGTTCTATTAATTATTATATGATAATCTTTTTTGATCTCTGACAAATATCTCTAATATGATATTGAAAAATATTCTATAGTGCATTTGATAAAAAAGAAAATTTTATAAATAAATTATAGTCTTGTTAATATTGAATTAGTACGAAAGAATATTTATTGAAAAGAATAAGATTAATATGATCAAAAGATAGAATTAGAAAAATAACAATAACAAAAAAATATTGAAGAACTATTTTTAGTTTTACTATTAAAATGAGTTTTTATGATCAGTTTTATAGAAAAAAAAAATCGATTGATCATTTGTCTTTGTTAACAATTAAAAATTTTCTCAAATATATAACAACAGAAAATGAATTCATTTTCGAACTATTTTAATTTCTATTCGAATTAATAGACAATTAATAACAAGTGAATTTTCTTACATTTGTAAATAAAAAAAAAAAAAAACATTTACTCTTTTTAGGCACAACTGTGTACACCATCATTAGCTATTCGCTCTGCATTAACATTACAATTTTGGATATTTTATTGGAAATTAGAACGTCAACGTCTTCAATTATCAAAAAGTCTTCCATCACATCTTACCGACGTTGGTCAAACAGTTCCAAATTCAGCTAAAATAATTCCAGTTGTCACAGAAAGTATTAATGTATTCAGTAATGATCATTTTAATATTGAAACAATTAGTTTACATTCATTAATAAAACAAGGACGTTATTTAGTTGTTAATTTTGGTAGTTGTACATGACCACCATTTATGGCAAGTTTAAAATCTTTTATTGAACTTGCTCAATTTTACAATGATCATCATTATCCAATTGATTCTTAATAAAACTATATCGAGAATCATGAAATTTCCATCCATCT